TTCTGTTAAGTGAAAAACCAGAATATTTTACTTTAGGAGAGTCATCATTGTTAAATAACTTGTGAGTTTTTTAGATAAATCTGCTTTTTATGCATTACAGAGTTTATTTGTATGTTTTCTTTCCAATATTAAATGAAAAGTTTTGAAAGTTTTCATAATAAACAGAAAATAACCCTGTGGAACTTCTTTCTTCTTCTTTCACCTACTGGGTAACTTTATAAATCTTTACTGATTTATTAAACAATAATCTTTACTGGATTATGGTTTTGACACAGAGCTGTTGCTTTTGTTATACCCATCCTAGTAAACAGAAATGGCTGTAAGGCAGAGTGAGGAGATGCTTAGATATCTAAATTGTTGGATTTAGTGAAAAAGGACTGAGTTTAAAAAGCTTAATTTCTGTGTAAGCCTGGAATGGATTCTTCAGCATTCAGTACTATGTGCTGTATTTACTGTTGATAAATATTCTGTTGATTTTATCAAATTTATATAAATTCTATCAAAATTACCATAAGATAAAATATTCTACAGAACTATTAATTGATCTCTCCCTCTTCCACATCTCCCTCTGGTTAATATGGAGATGACTCTTCAAAGACCTTTTGTAATAAGGATACTAAGTAATACAGAGGGGTAAGACACATTTGCCAACTGCTAGGAAACGCACCTTAAAATTAAGTTTCTGAATGTGACACCACCCGCTCTCCCTCCCCCCAGTTACATAAAGATGGACCTGAGTATAAGACAATTCTGCTGTTTCACATCTGTTTAAATTTCTTTTTCACACATTCAGTGAATTAGTCCCATAGCAGGTCTGGGCATGGGTTGACGCCATGGAGTTCTCCTTACTCTGCTGCGTCTCTCTTTTAAAAGCCTGGTCATGCTTTTGATATATTCCCTGGTTTGTTAACTGTGACATTCAGCACAATCTGCATGTTATCCCTGCTATTTTCAGGACTTGCTCCACCGCCATGACCATTTTGTGAAAAACAGTGAAAGCGAAGACTCCGTCTGGATGGCTGGCAATGAGAAAAACAGACTCAGGTTTCAGCTTCAAGATGAGTTACACTTAACAACAAGCAAATTCCTCCCTTCCTCTTGGGTTATTTCCTCTATGCAGATAGAAAAATAAGCTACAGCTACTGATAAGGGAAAATTTGCAATTACTTTGCTAATACTCAACATGAACTCTTTCAAGGATACAATGTGGAATGGGCTACTAGTTCAGTTATCTTCCACAATACAAAACCAGGCTCAAGTTTCATACTAATCATAAGAACATATGGTAGAGATGTGGCCAGATTTAATTTGCTTGTTACTGATCTTCCCATGGCAGTTGCTAAGAAGAGATACAGCAGAATGCACGGACACGCATATGCAGGCCTCCCCCTTTATTTTTTCTTAGAAAGGTTAAGACTACATGAAAAGCAATCAACTTTCTAACTAAAATCTTAACTGAGATTACAGCTACAGGAAACATATTTCCCAGGTAAGAATTAGTTATTTATGTAATGTACAGGTCTGGGAAAGAGGCTTGAAAAGCCTTTAACTCTGAGGCTAAATCATAAGAAATCAAAAAGCTTCTGTACTTGCTTCAGTCCAGCTTTCACAGGATTGGAGCAGAAGACTGCTAAAAATCACTTAAGAGGAAGAAAGTAAAAATTACGGTAGGTGCACTAACTGTGTGTATCAGCAAGTGAAAAAAACCCCATGGTAAACATTTAAATGTTGGAACTGGCTTTGTATTTTTTGTGTAGCAGTAGCAAAAAGACACTCTCCTCTAACTTAAGCTTGTGCGCTCATCCTTGTGGTATGCACACAAGGCACAATCATTCAGGAGAAGTTACTTCTGCCCTGCTTGTCTATGATATATTTCCTGTTGTGCAGATATTTTAATTTGTTTGACTATTTGACGTAATGTGCAGCAGTCTCCGTGGTAAAAGTTACAGGTATCTCTTAGCTCATTAAAAGTAGTGAAGAAACTAGGCTGAGAGAGCAGACTTTTTGTGGTGTCTGCTTTAGCTCATACTCTGCCAATTTAGCTTATAAAAAGATGACGGTCAAGAAATGTACTTCTGTAGTTTTCACAAATCCTCTTCTACCAAGTATTTTAAAGCCTGAAATTGAGTTCTAACTGCCTTTATTAAAGATCTTGAGAACTAATTACAGTGGAAGAGAATGGGACCAGAACTGTTTGCATCTAATATTTCAATCTAGATTTGCAAAAAACAATGTAAGCTTTGGCAGCATTTCCAAGTATTTGTTTAAATAATAGCACTCTGAAATAATTTCTTTAGGGAAAAGAATAAACATGGACCAAATACTGAAGTTAGACTTTTCCTAATAGCTCTAGTATCCGGTTCTTGAAGTACACACTCCAGTTCAATGCTGCTCATCTCATCTTCTATGCTGTCCTTTCAAAATCAACTGAGTAACTTTGCTGATGAAGTTTCTGAAGCACGTAGCGGTATTTTCACTTAGAGGCTAGTGGCACAGCATCTTTCTTGACCCAAATCAAATAAAAAGAAAACCAATGCTAAAACATACGGAATAATTCAGTTTTAGTGATGAGATTAAAAATGTCCCTTGGATTTTCAATAGTTGCATGCTGTGGGTTGCATGACAGCGGCCAGGATTGTCTAAACTAGGTTACCATTTCCATGCAATAATCTTACCACTCTGAGACATTGAATAACCTAGTGTACTTTTATTAAGTAAATGGAAGCAGAGGTTAATGAACATTTATTGGACCAACTTAACACCGTGAAATCACAGGCATCAGTCAGACTGAGAGGCAGCATACTGATAAGATCAAGTTTTCTTTACAAATCTATGAGCCCCTGTACAAAAATAAAGTATAAAAGGGGCAAACAGAAATATTTGTTTCTTCCCAATCCCAGGGCTGCTTCTGAGGTCACATTCAGCATAAATTTAGAGAAGTCCAAGAGGTGCTCTAAATTATGCGGTGATATTTACAGTACTAGGAGGACCCTTCTCCAGTTGGAGATTAAAAAAAAAAAAGAATCATAACATTAGCTCTGCACCTGCATGAGTCTCTGCTATGCAAGCAAAGCTTCCAGCTGAATTTATGGCAGCCTTTTGCCCTCTATGTACCACACAGATAACAGAGACGCATCAGAAGGGCTTGGGCAGGGCAGGAGGCAGGGGAGGCGTGGGTCGGGCAGGCTGAGGAGTCCCGGGCTTGCTCTGCGCTTCCTGGGCCGGTGCTGAAACCGGTTCACGGAGCTCACTGGGCTGCGTGGTTCGGCTGTGCTTAAAGCCTAGGGGGGGTTCCAAGTTAATCTTTTGCTACGGAAGGTTCCTACAAGGAAAACAGTCTGTGGTAAAGAGGAGGCAGGACAGTATGCTAGCTGACGTGCTTTACAGTTTTTGTCTCTTGATAAAAGGCTATACAGCGAGAATAAAAGAAACAAAGCTCTCCAAGTTAGTCTTTCTACTGTGCAGTATTAACTGAATGGTAGCTCCACTTAAGAGAAGAAAAGTGTATTAGTTACATGAAATCACTACTTATTGTCATCTACGTAAGGCAGAAGCACACTCATGGGCCTCATGAGTTTTCTTTCTTTACAGGCTGGATACACAGAAACTCCAAGAAATTCACATTAACAGAGTCAAAAGTGTGTAGTCAAAACATTTACGGTGGACTATAGCCGAATTATCAAAATTACTTTACCTGTTTAATATCATAAACATTTGAAATGAAGAATGTGTCACTGAAGTCAGATACCAATGCTTACCAGAGAAGAAGTTTGTATTTCTAACATCAGAAACACTCCACTGCTTCATTTTCAGCAGGTCTTCCCATCTTTGTGCTTTACTGGGAAAAGAGGTAGTTTGAGAGAGAATGAAACTGTCACTTGGATGAGCTCAGCTGGTGTGTAATACTACCACCGCAACAGCTGATCTACAGGAACACCTGCTAAGGTTCATCCGGCACTAAAACGACACGGCACGACTACTTGAAACATTACCTCTTACTCACTAAATAACATACTTCACAGTTTGCACCTATCCCCTTTTACAGGGGCTAAATTCAGAACAGATGAGCAGCTACTATTACTCCAACAGGTTCCCTCTTACTCGCTGGCCCGCACAGATCGTTTCTCACCGGTGAGTTTCCAGCACTCCACAAACTACGAACTCAGGGGACTCGGTTACAGTACTCGTTTTGGGACGCAGTCACCAAACTGTGATTCCAGCTGTAGCGTGAGTGGGTTCAGCAGGTGGGGTAACGCGGTGGCTCACGTTGCCTTCTGGGCTGCAGGCTGTGCTGAGAATGCTGTACAAAATAAACACCTTTTGCCTGACCTGGCTGGATGGGATGCCTGGCTGGACCTAGACTTTGCCTAAGGATTTTACAAGAATAGAGATTTGACCACCCGACCTGCAGTAGGAGTAGCGACCTATGCACTTTATGATAATTACGCCTGTGGTAAAGGTTCAGCCGTGAGAACCTTTTCTGATTACATGTGCAGTGGTCCCAAACAACTGGAACAGCCCACAGATCAGTTACAGCTGATAGTTCAACTTTGAGGATAAATCCTTCGAGAACACTGCATCATTTTAATATAAACACTAGACTTCATACTATACAACAGCACAGCCAACCGAGCTTTGAAGATAAATCATTTTAAGGAACATCGTATTTCTGACACCTAAAAAGAGGTGGCAATGCTTGCTTCTGTTAACCATTTTCAGACAAAAATGCAAACCATCTGGGCCAGTGAGAGCATGAAGAAGGGAAACAAAACACCAGGTTGGCACACGGTTGAATTTTTCTTCCTAGGCTCTGCTCTAATTCTGAATTAGTTGAACTTGTGCTGGTAGCACAGGCGGAGCAGAGCCCCTGGAACAGACTACGGGCTTTGCCCTACAAGGGCCTTCGCTTAACGGACTTTAAGAAACCTTTTCTCGTGCATGAGTCACTGATTTGCTCTTGAAACTCCCTGTGATGAAATGAAGGACCCAAAAGCATTTAATTGTTGAACACATAAAAGGAAGTATATTTAAAATAAAAAAAATTGGTCAGACTGTAGAGTCAATTACCATTTTTAAAGGAATTTACAGGGCTGTTGTAGATGAGTCTTTTGGAATAGTCAGTTTATCGCAATGCCTAAACTGGTTTCTTCATTGCACAGTATTTTCTTTTAAAATGTGTGCATCTTTAAACAATTACATACATATTAAAAATCAGCATTTCTTTGCTTAAACTTAATTAAAACGTTAATACTCTCAGACAACACAGATCTGAAATGGTGAAACCAGTAATTGCCCCCTCCCACCTTACAACAAATTAAATTGAGACAAAATTACAAACACATTTCACTACATGATTATTATTAATAAAAATCAGGTTTTTTTTTATAAAGTTGCCCAAAATGCAAGGGATGTGCATAGGTTTACAACTTAGTCAGAATAATATTTTACTTTATTCCCTTGGGTACGTGTTCCCATGAACGGAATGTACTTTGCTGTAGATTACAGGTTTTATCAACACAGATACACCAACGGCATGAACGCTTGCGACTGTCCACATGCATTAAGAGTCAAGACCCAATTTCAAATTTCTAAAAGTTTTACAGAGTTCTTCAAAGAGACAGTATCACATTATCTGGATGTTACACAAAAGTACTTAAAAATACTATCCTAGGAAAAAAAAAAAGCGAAAAAAGGCCTTTAAAATTTATGAATTTGTTTCGTAACCACTAGACTAATTACTTCAAATAAATAAAGGAAAGCAAAGTATTCCAATCAAAAAATCAGACTCTAAAAAGAATGTAGTGTTCCACCCCCAAGTTAAGGTAACAGAATCATATTATTATTACTATTAAAATAGATTATAGAAAGCAGCATCTATTTTGTGCAGTTTTTAGGGGCCCTTGAAATAAAAAGCTATGATTTCCAAAAATATAACATTCCAAAGGACTGAATAATACATATATTTAAAGATACATTTTATTAAAGTTTAGGAGAAATGATTAAAAAAAGATACTGTCTCTTTAAATTAGTGTTTAATTTTTTTTTCCCCTCCTCCTATCTATTCGGACATGACAATAATTATATTTTAGGTCACACTACATCTAGGTAGTCTCTAGGGGCCAAGACCTGTTGACACAAGGTCAATAACGAAGAGGTTTTCCATGTATGAGGTGGTTCCCAGTAACGACAGATTTTTTTTCAATTCTCTCATGACCGGTCTAGTAGACCCAGGAGACCGGGACCCACTGTGAGGCTGTACACACAAGCTCGATGGCTTCCTCCAGGTGCCTGATAGTTTCATCAATCTCATTGTTGATAATTGTTAGGTCAAAGTAGTGTGCATATGTTCTCTGTAAGATTTCAGACTCCTTCTGCAGGCGCTGAAGAGATTCGTCCTGTTCGGCGGTCAGAAAAGAAAACGGGAGAGAGAGAAGTTGGATCCTTTCGTACTCTTCTACAACAGCTTTCTAACCGTTGCTTACAGAGAAGGAAACGGGCCAAAAACCCTTGGGGAGGGCTAGGTCGTTTAGATCCCCCACCTACATCTATGGAAATCACAGGGGAGAATGGCACAATTTCTCTCTCGAAGCCGACATTCAAACAACACTCACTTATTGACATTACGTGAGACAAACCACAAGCCTAGCATTAAAAAAGCAAGGCAGAGGATGGAAGCTTAGAAAAGCAGCACAGACATGAGCAACGGAGACCATATATGAATATAACGTACAAAGTGCACGAATATGAGCTATTGGGCCTATGTCCAGGTAAGCACACGAGAAACAGGAGAGGGTGTATTGTCAGGTATCAGCTGTTCCCGGTTTTGGTCATGTTTTCTGTTCAACATCAGTCTTCTGGATCTACTTCCTTTAATACTCATTTACTGATAAGGAAATTCTCACTCCGCATTACTCTGCGGTTCCTATTTCAGAGCACGCCATTCCCAGCGTCTCTTAGGGCGAGATCCTGAAGACAAACCACGCGGCCCGTGCTTGAGAAGGGCCAGCGCTGGCAAGACGGGTGCTCTCCATGGCTTTGTGTCAACGTCCTTACAGAAACAACCGCATCCTACTGGGTGGGTGTGCTGCTGCACTCTGTGCAGCCAGCAACGCTACAGCGATGGGCTTTGTGAGTGAGGTCTGCCTTTCTGAGAGCGCGGGACTGCAAAAGGCTTCTTTCTACGGCTCTGCGGCAATTTTTAGTTTGAATTCTCTTCCTGCAAATTCCCTTAGAAATTTAAAAAAAAATAAAAATCATTTGCTGCTTTCAGGAATCTTGAAATAGCCACTGGAAAGTAATCAAGTCCTTCCTGCCCCACAGGTTTGGGGTGGATATGGGGCAAAATTACATATGAACAGTATAGACTCCTGCTGCTCTGAAGTATCTATAGGGTCACTCACCCTTCTTGATCTGTCAACTGGGATACACTTTATTATAACAGAGTTTTAGGCTGCAGTAAGTACAGACACAGTGCCTATAGCTGTTTTCAAAGAAATTATTAGCTGATAAATTCTGTTCCCAGAATAAGAGACTCCCCCTTTTTCTGTTTAAACTTCCAAGTATTTGTAATTACAGTGACAAGTAGCTGTGGAACAGCAGCTTTCAGGTCCTCTGAAGGGAACAACCTGCACTGAGACAGTTCTCCTTCCCTGTAGCTATGAAACCAGCCACTTCTGGAGGAGAAGTTCTGTACCAAAGTTACAGTTCTGCTTCTCTCCTGAAGCTGCAGCCTCAGAGGAGGGGGGATGTTGCCTTCACTTGATAATCGCTACAGATTTCATTCAAAGTCAGACAAATACTCCTCACATGCGCTTCTGTACAAGGGATGCTCCTTGTATGGACCATTACGCATCGCCAGGGATGTCTGGAACTTCCACAGAAAATACCAGTGCATGCAAATTTAATTTATGGTATTAACAAATTGGACAATATGGATCAATACTAATATTAAATATTTTTGTGGAACATTTCATATGGCCCAGTGTCTTTAAGCCAAAAACCTAGTTAGGTAAACTGCCAACTTCTCATAGATTCCAAAAGAGACATCAATTTATGTCAGCAGAGGATCTATACTCTTCTGCTTAAATTAACCTACAAAGGAAAAAAAAATCATAACTGTCAAGCAGAATATTTTCAGTGCTTTAAACATATCTAGCTAAGACTAATTTTATATTTAAAGCCAGTCTTAGCAAAATCATATTGCACCTTTAAAAGGCTAACAGTATCTGAACAACCCCCACAAAGCCTTAGAACTGTTAACTCATACGTAGCTTTTTAACTGCTATTCAGATTTCCCCACAGCGTCACCTTTACCTACAAGAATGAACTTTTCTCACTCAACTTTTCTCACTTATGGTGACTGACAACAAAAATCTGAAAAACTTACAGCTATCTCATCTTAAAAACAACAACTGGTAGGTAGAGAAGAATGAATACTAACATTTACCTTACACACATAGATGTCACAAAACTAAGAGTTTCAAGAATTCATTAAATTTTAATATTTTTCTGACTTAGCTTCTCCTAGATCCAACTTTACTGGGATCACAGTGGGTTGTATTTGGAATATCTGGATTTCCTAGCCTGTTGGAAATGTAAAACATTACTTCTTTCATATACTTTTAGGGGCCGTATTAAGTTTGGGATTTGTACATTCAAAACCATGTCAGACTTGGCTAAGTGTTTCTTCTGTAAGTCTTAAATGCCAAAGTTCATCTTCAAGGCTAACACTTCCTCAAAAGTTTTGCTCTAGTAAGTTCCTCTCAATTTCTCTAAAATTTCTTGATTAAATTTTGAATAGTGAACATCCCAGATTATTCTCCAAGAAGAATATTCTCCAGCAGTTGCGCTCTCAATAGTGTCAAGAAAGAAGGTATGTATCAAAAGGTTCAGCTAGCTGCAGACAGACAAATGAATCGCCACAACTTCAGTAATTTCAGTAATAGGCATTTTATGTGGGTCTAGTTGCAGTGTGTCCATTATTGGAACAGACTTTTCTTTCCTGTCGCTAGAATTCAGTTCACTTTCCTAATCTTCTCTCCTCCTGCAGCACAGCTGGGACAGAAAGGAGTGAAACACGGCTGTTATCCACGAAATCTCTCCCACGTGCACAATGGTCACCAGTGATATCTTCAGTCTCTGAGGGCTGGGTTTTTTTGTCCTAAATTATGTAGGACAATAGCTGCTGCTCATGACAGTCAATTCACAGCCTAACAAATTACTAATAATCCCTTCTAAGGCTGTGAACAATGTATAGACACACCATCTGGCCTTTGCCAATTTTGCTCCAACAGAAAGAAATTCTCCTCAATTTAAACAGCTGGTGGACTGCGAACTCCTTAAGAAAAATTCCTTTTATTCTTTGGCTGTAGGAAGGGAGGAAGCATAGCTAAAAATTCAGATGAATTTGGCTCAATACAGATTTACACATGGCTCAATAAAGATTTAGATCAAAAAAGTGGAGCCTGTCAACTCCTCACTGCTGCTGTCTGGGCAACGGGAGGTAGAAAACAGCTGGAGGGAAGAGGAACTACTTCAGTGTTTCCTGATATGGTCTCTCCTCCCCTTGTTTTAGCACAGCAATAATCTGTTTCCTTTGAGATTAGACAGGTGGGTACACTCTGGGAGACTTCCTATATGATTTAAATTGGTTTTGTGCTTTGCAGAATTGCTCATAGTGCACTGCTATATTCAGTTGGAAAGCATGATATTTTGTCTCCTAACTCTTGCTGTGTGGTCCTTGATTATTGAGATATTTTTTGTGGTCTGTGATAGGCTAAAGTGTCTCGAGAGATCCTTTTAAGATCAGGCCTCTGCACTGATTTTACCACAAAGTTCAGATGTACAGCTGTAAGAGTAGAAATTTTAGTCTCTAGTTTCTTTTTACTAGTGGATAATTTTAGCGCAGATATCTGAAGTCATTACTACATTAAATTTTTATTCCAATGGCGAAAGTAATGTTGAATGGGAACGAGCATATCTACATTCTAAAACTACTGAAATAACCAGGACTACCTTGTCAGCCCCTAGCTGGTACTTACAGGCAATTTTCTGCACCATTTTGGCAGCTATGTACAATTAGTACGAGTGCAGGAAAATGAAAAGAAAAGCAAAGATGAAATTTAAGAAAACATAAGGGGAAAAAAAGGACAGTCATTTACAGAAATGTTCTCAAAAAGCGTAAGTAAAATAAACAAAACAGGATAAGAGGATAAACAGAAAGGGATACTCGTTATGCAAATGAACCTTTCAAAAAGGAAGCATGAATGGGAAATATGAAACACACACTCTCCACCCTTGTTTGCTGCCTTGCAGGCTGCTAACACACAGACACAATTGGCGTTATCTCCCTTCATGCAGCCCAGCAAACCTTGGAAAATAGCATCCTGTATTTGGGTAAGGTCTGTTGCTATTACATTTCCTGCCCCTCCCTTTCCTTAAGTTTAATGGATTCATAAATTAGCATGCTTTATAAGTGTGGCCTCAGTTCAGCAATTCATGTGCCTGAGTGAAACCCTGCATGCACAGAGACTTTAGTCACAAGAGCTTAAAATAAAGTCACAGTCTTACAGCATGAATGCAAATATTTAGAACATAATACTTTACTTCTACTAATATTTCTTTGGCATGAACAAATATTTCCCCACCACTACTATAAAAGGTACATTCCTGTCCTCTTCCTAGTATACCACGGAAAATATTTTCTGCCTCATATGAACTGTCCCAAATATCTCTGCATTATATCCTACAGCTGGAAGATTAAAAGTTAAGTACCACTGGCAGATGAGTGAGGCCAAGGAAGACTATTTGGGAGCTGGTACACAGGTATGGAGGCAACAAACCCAGGTGATTGCATAATTCTACAGGGTACCTGGCTGCCCGAGCGCTGCTGTAAGCACAATGCTTGCCTGATGCATCCAAAGAACGATGCTAACTATTTTTTAAGTGATGCCATGCCATTTGCTTGCATAAAGGCAAATTCAGTGTAGAATACAAAATTTTAGTATTTTCTCAAGATCGTACTGATTTACAGCATATGCCAACACCAGCAGTTAGACAAACTGTCACTTCACTAACATAGCAAATTGTGATATTCTGAGAGACCTTCGTCTGTGCACTCGTGACATTTACCAGTTAGGGTATGGGTTGATAAGACACAGTGAAATGACATAACTTACTGCTGTGAAAGTTAAAAGTGCCTTCTTCCCCTTCCCCTCTCTCTTCCTGGCTATACGCTTTCACTGCTTGTCCTGGCATTGGTGCTTGTCAGAGCTTTTGTGAGCTGCTTGAAAACTGACAAAAATCCAATTTAGAGCTAAAGTAGCTCACTAAAGGATCTGGTGAGTGCCATGGCCAGTGCAGACTGGCAGTATATGTCCCAGAAGCAAGTTAGAGAGATTCACTCCCTTCAGCAACAGTGAACTAGTAGAATGCCTCAGCTGCCAGTAAAATTGCAGCTCAAGGCCAGTATTTTTCACTCTCCACTTGCTATTTTAATAATCATTCAGGGCATTTGCATTTAAATATGTTTGTCTTATTCCTTATTTTCCTGCAAGCCTCTGCAGTGATGTCACAGTTTCATACTTATGATACTGTAATTACATTTCTATAGAAACAGGCTGTAGAGACAGGGCTTCTGATATTTTTTGCATGATCAAGGAGACATCTAGGAGATTTGGAACAGATTCATGGTCAAATCCAATTGATTAAATACCTTAATATCATGGTTTAAAAAAGGCTGAGCAGATAAAGTGTTTGTATAAATACCATTTGCCCTGTTGTGAGCTAAATCCAGAACTGCTTGATACCATCTTTGAAATCAGTAGCAATCTGCAGAGTGGATACTCTATAAAAACTAAGTAGGAAATTCAGGATGTGGACCTCCATGAATACTTAACATTATTCCACAAGCAATTATCCCTTTGGTCAAAGCTTCCAATTCTTAGAGAACAGTGTTCAAAATTAATAAGCCTATTTCTGATATATATTTGCTGTATAGAAAAAATACTAAAAGATAAAGGCGGGATGACAACACAGTCACGCACACCCATTTCTTCAGGCCAGCTGTAACCTAGCGCTAGCACTGCAGCTCAGAATTGAGTAATTTGTGCTAATGATTTGTTGAGGATTTGGAAATGGATCTTTGAGCTAGGGCAGGGAATGAAATAAAAGAATATGTATTTTTAGAATACGTCACGTGGATATTTCAACTTGAAGTTCGTATTTTGAATTAGAAAAATCAGTTAATAAACAATAAACACATCTCAATCAACATAATAATGCTGCTATACAACTGTCTTTCTGCCTCCATTTACAGACAAGGAAATAATTAAAGAGTCTTATCTGCATATCTGAATCTCATCCTTAATTCTGTCTCTGATAGGACATTAGATTGCAACATGCCATACCTCATTAATGCCTGGGGTAATCGTAGGTGCAGCAATAAAAACAACAAAAGGAGCAAACTCTGCAGTTCTCAGGACCTTCAATGCCTAGGTGAAAAAAAAATCCGATACTTTAGAAGAACCCCTCAACAATCAATGCGAATAAGTTTAGTCACACAAGCAAGAGATACAAAATCCTGATTTACCAATGCTGGTATTTGTTTTTAACTGATCTGGAGTCAAGACTTCAGTAATACAGACACTTAACTTTTTGCATTATTTTACATTTTTGGTGGTCAAACCGTGTATTTATCCTTAATTAAAGAGAGTTTTCAAGACAATGAAAGCTTTAGCATTTTCAGAGAGGCTCTTCCCATACAGTCTCAAAGAGTGCAGAATTCCGTTTTCATTTAAACTAAATGATTAACACCAGGTAAAAAAATTCACTCATGCCATAAATAGGGAAAAGAGCCAACTGTATTTTAGAATACATATTGACTAGAATATAATTTTTTCTCACTTTTTCTACCTACCAACACTTTTTTATTATTTTCTGAAACAAATGAAAATGTGATGTGAAAGTTCAAAGTTTTTAAAAAGTAAGCATAGTGAAGTTTTAAAAAAGTGAGCCTAGCACTAATACAGTAAATGCAGCACCAACCCCCTGAACCGAATCTGTGCAAAAGAAAAGAGTTCTCATTAAAAAGTTGACCTAGTCATAATTTACTGAGTGACACACAGAGCTGCCATACGTGAAACTCTGGTACAGATCCAAGCTAGACTAAAGTACAGGAGAGCAAGTAAACATACCTCAGCTGAACTCAAATGGATGGACAAGATAAATAAAGACTACTAAAGGTCAGTCTGTTTTTGCTCCTTCCACTTCCTGTCTTCTCCAAAGTTTTTTCTTTTTTTAAAAAAAGACCAAACAAAACCCCACAATCCATCCTTTCCCCAAGATAAAGAGGTTTTAACCTCTGCTGCTTGAAACCCACCTATATATATATGTCATCTATGCCCACCTCCTCTAAACAAGAGATAAACCCCATATGTAAAAGTCAAAAAACCTCACATAACTAAGAGTACACAAGGGAAAACAGGCAAGTGGTGTAACATAACGAGGAATAAGTCCACAAACAGGCTGGCCTTAATGAGCTGAGATGGATGCATGAGGAAGCTGGTTAAGAAAGAGGCTTGCTAGACTCTGGAGGAAGTGTAGCAAAGGCGGCTGTTACCAAATGTAAACATATTCTAACAAAGATTAAAATGGCTTCTGAGAATTGTAATACTTCTGAATAATGCAAGTTGAAAAGGTTTCTCAAGAGAGTTTGCTTTTAACAGCTGCTCCATTTGAACTAACTACAAATGTTACTCTCCCTGAAAACTGTTAAATGTGGGCTTTTATTTTTCAGAACAGCACCACACCAGCATCCTATGTTAAGTGTCCTAAATAATTTAGTCAGGTATCTTATTTCTGTTATTAAATTCTTAATGAATTTGAACTTCTTGAATCCATTCACAAAGAAGAAAGAAGGCAGCAAATTTAAATAGATAACACTGGTCACAATTTTAATTTGTCTTTCCTCCCATTTCCTTCAATGTGCTAGAATAATAAACATCACATTTGTCCATATTCACATTGTTCCACTTAACAAAACATATAAACACATCCCTGTGAACTGAAAATCATGACTACATGGATGTTTCAAAGGAAACATATCAGAATTTTCCACTGAAGATTTTATATAATGAATGAACAAACTACTTAGTGTTTCCTGAGAGCCTGATTTTCCTTCCTGCCCTCTTCTGAAAAGTTTAATACCGCAACACAGAAAGGAGTTTATAAATTAACAACACTGATCTGGTCATTGTGCAAACAGGATCAATATCGATGACTGACCACAAAAGTTTCTGACCATGCTCAATAGTGCTGTGGAGCCAAGAGTCAGTTAGGAACAAGATTACCCTCCAATACAGCATCGAAGAGAAATTTTTGAAAATATCGAAACAATACTCCTGGCAGGCAATGACAATCACTTGTTTTGATATGTTTCACTGGACATGAGGCTAATATAATAAAAAGTCACACAGTAAGTAGATTTTCAAGATGCAGTGGTTGCATACCAAGATAAACTATGAATTTGTTTCTGCTGTATGTCCTTCTAACCAGATGATTACCAGAATTCTACTTCACAGATTGATACTTTGGTGTTCCAGGGACTTTTGTTCCACATTACTGTATGCATTACTTATCTATTGTGCAATCAATGAAAATAAATAAATCTCAATAAAATAAGGTTGAAGGATTTGTGATGAGTCCCATTTTAATATACTTCTAATTAGTTACCTGAGGTTCTACATCAAGTATTGCAATTAGTCCCTGCTCATGGATCTTTCGTATTGTTTCCAGTTTTGTCCCATACATTGCATCCTCATGGCTGCCATATTCCAAATATTCATTGTTTGATATATCCTGCATCATTTGGTCATGTGATACAAAGTAGTAATTTTTCCCATTTTCTTCATCTTTCTTTGGAGGTCGGGTTGTGTCTGAAAATACAAAATAAAATTATTTTTAGTACAAAAGCAATATTAAGCTTATATATGACTTTTTGTTTGGTTTATCAATACTTATTCACTGAATGGTGACCTGTCAAATCACATATAGAACAACGAAGCATGAGCTTGAGGTAGGCAGAATAACAGGGGCTGGGAAAAGCAGGAGTCTGGGGGATGTGTGTTGGGAAAAGCAGGAGATGAAGGGATGTGGAAAAGGTAAAAATCAAAAGGTAACAGAGGAAGAACAGAAGGTCATAAATAACCTTTACCTGGTCAGGACTATAAGACTCTATCAGCTGCTTTCAACAGCAAACAAAGGGCACATCTCACAGTTTTTATAGTTTCTAAACAATTCAATTAACATCTCCATTTTACCCCAGGGGCCAGTACTGGGCCCAATCCTGTTCAACATCTCCATTAATGATCTGGGTGATGGGGCAGAGCGTACCCTCAGCGAGGATGCCAATGATACAAAACTGGGAGGAGTGGCTGATGCACCAGAGGGACCTCCACAGGCTGGAGAAAGGGGCTGACAGGAACCTCATGAAATTCAACAAGGGGAAATGCCAAGTCCTGCACCTGGGGAGGAACAACCCCATGCACCAGTACATGCTGGGGGCTGACCAGCTGGAAAGCAGCTCTCCAGAAAAGGCTCTCTGGCGGGTCCTGGTAGAACACGAGCCAGCAACGTGTCCTTGTGGCAAAGAAGGGTTAAAGGTGTACTGAGTTGCATTAGACAAAGTATTGGCAGCAGGTGGAGGGAGGTGATCCTTCCCCTCTACTCAGCACTGGTGAGGCCACGCCTGGAGTGCTGGGTCCAGTTCTGGGCTCCCCAGTACAAGAGAGACATGGACAGACTGGAGAGAGTCCAGTGAAGGGGCATGAAGGGACCGGAGCATCTCTCCTTTGAGGAAAGGCTGAGAGAGCTGGGACTGCTCAGCCTGGAGAAGAGAAGGCTCAGGGGGATCTCATCAAGGAGTACAAATATCTGAAGTGAAGGCGTAAAGAAGATGGAGCCAGTCTCGTCTCAGTGGTGCTCAGTGACAGGACAAGAAGTAATGGGCACATACTGCAGCACAGGAGCTTCCATGTGAATGTAAGGAAACACTTTTTCACTGTGAGGGTGGCTGAGCACTGGCACACGTTGCTCGGAGAGGTGGTATGGACTGTCCATCCTTGGAGACATTCAAAAGCCACCTGACCATGGTCCTGGGCAACTGGCTCTAGGTGGCCCTGCTTGAGCAGGGGGGTTGGACCAGATGACCTCCAGAGGTAGGGATCTCAACCGTTCTGTGACTCTGTAGGCCATCTGCTCCTCTTTTCCCCACAGTCATGCTGAAATCCACTTGCTTCTCTTTCTTCTAATATTCCCTTACAAACTGATTCACTCTCGTATTTTTCCACTATCATATTTATGTTGGTGACATATCTGAAACACCACATCTCTTCCCAATCTAACCCCGTATCTTCCAACAACCCTATCATAATTTCAACCAAAGTATCAAAAAATTGAACTTATCTATTTTTAATTATACCTATTACTGTTCTGAGGATTAATTAACAATGTTCTGAGGATTAATTAGCATATTTCAAAGATGAAAAGTTCTATAGAAATATTATAGATCATAGTTATTATTTTAAGGAATTCAAGAACAATGGGTTATATAAACCATATAATATCACTATTCTACTCACTGCTGCCTCAGGTCTACTGAACTTATATTTCCCCCAAACCCTCTTCTTTTGTAAAAACACTTCTGTATTTTCCTTTTCCTTTTTTAATTAAATTCTTATGAGGTTTTCTTCTGAGTGTGAAAGTGTAAGTCTAAAAAGTGGATGAGAGCCTGATTACCTGTGGTCAAGAGAGATGAAAGCTACTTAGCAATAACATACTTTTCGAATATATTGCTTCTGCAGACCGATGTGGTAAGAGATGTATGGCCTACTAATCCTTTTAATTAACTACCACTGTGTGTGACATGACCTTTATGATCAAGTTTTCAGTAGGTAGCTAATTTCTTCATAAAGCATTCCCCAAAACTTCACACCCAACTTAGGGCCTACCTCAAAAGCTACCTAATCCTACCATGGTATTTTAAAAGAATGCAGAAAATGCAGTAAAATCCATCCCTGAGAGTTGGAGAGAATAAATTCAATTACCTAGAGTCAGCTGAAAGACAGATCAGGTTCCCATAATACTTAAAGTGTACGTGATATATTTTATATGATCTATTTATATCACTAACATAAGGAAGTAATTTGGGTCTCTAAACACCAGCATAAAGAGCTATTTTAAATGCCCTAAATGCCTTAAATCTGAAATATCCATATAGGACTATTAGATGTAGCACAGGAATCAATGGAGACCATCGCTCTTCTGGAGTGGAGCTGGAGGCCAAGTGATGTCTAAAACAGGCATCTAACCATCAAACTGATGCTTTAACACCTGAATTTCATCCTGATTGGCAGTCTAGTCTTTTTAGTCTTCTTATATAATCACTGAAGCCATTTCAGTGCTTCCACAGAGCAGGAACCTAATGCAGGCAATCTAAGGCATGGTCGTCATGGTATAGGCGAGTCCATTTTCATAGGTATTTGAAGATAAATTAACTAGTTCAGCTTCTACCTCCCCACAGCAATACAGTTAGTACTTGAGAGAGACTGGGTGAAAAGCATACCATAAAGCATTTATTACTCTTTGTTTTAGTTCTTTGTAATGGAGAACATATTTGCTGGGTTACTGCTCCCTACCCACCACATAATCTTGTCTGTATTGAATAACATAGGTACAACATACATCACATACTCCTGGCACCCCGCTTTTAAAGTATCTAATCCAGGATTTTATTGTCTAGATATAAACAGTAGCGTGACAAACAGTGCAGTTTCACATTGCTGCTGGGGCGATCTAATGGCTCATGCTTTCAAAAGAGCTAGGTCTTTCTGTTTTCCTTCTGCTGGCACTGGTCTTTGTCTTAACTCCTTAGCGAGCAAGCCTGGGGAACTTAAATCAGCAGCCAATTAATCCTTTTCCCCTTCCAAATAGAGAAACAGGTAAGTTCTTAAAAATAGTACTTTTCAGCAACAACAAAATCCTTATAGGTAGAAGAAACCCTAAGTGCACTTTTAAAGTAAAGCACTAACAAGGTATAAAGAAAATGGAATTAATTCATAATGGTCATCAGTGTCACTTCTTGGCCATCTATGGGGTTTCTGAAGTCAGCCTGAAATAGTGGACAGAGTTAGCTGCTGGATGCTCGTTTCAGAATGCCTAGCTTGAGGAAAAAAGGGTGCATCTCCAAGAGATCACGTAGCAGGATATGCAATTCCTGCCATGCTACTGATAGAGATTGTCATGAAGGGAAAACACTCCTGTGCTCTTCGTAACAACCCACTTGTAAGCAGTGAAGTTACTTGTGTTTTCTTTTTCTTATTGTCATCTCTAGAAACTTGAAGTTATTTTAGTATAATACCAGTCCTCGAGGCTAGGCTATGAAAGGTAATTTAAAACATTCAGATAAGGTACACCTTAAAGATTTTCTTTAAATCCAGTTTATATTTCTTCTCACAGGAATTATACACAGTTTTAAACATCAAGGCTGTTCCAGTCTTACCTGAACTGTAAATGTAAAATTAGCACAGAAAAATGAAACATTTTTCATTCTAAAAGTTTCATTCTAAATTAACAAACATTTGGGGTAGAGAGAAGTATGCTTAACAAGAAGTTTTGTGAATACTAAGAAACATCGAATGTAGAAGTGGTGCTACTTACTACCCACCCCGCCCTGCCCTGAAAACACAAAAGAAGAAATATACCCAGTCTTATCACAGTTCCCACCCTTAAGATAGGATTCGTCTCAGCAGAACTGAACACATGTAGTGGTACAATGGGTGTGTTGTCAAGGATGATACAAACAATTTTGCAGTACATTGAACACTGCTACTTACGAGGAATGGGGTAAGCAAATCTGTCCGGGTGTTTTGTGATGAGTGTGTTTTTTATGTGTCTTCTTCCAACACCGTGTGCACCTAATCCACAACACAGAAATGAATTATGAATTTTCCACTAGAAGAGTTTCAAAACCATGCTGTTACGTTCAGAATAATAACTCAAAATTACCTAGTAAGACTAGTGTTTTCCTTTTGAATGCTGGCAGTTTTACTACTTCTTCATATGTGACGAGATCTAATTGATCAAACACTAAAACACAAAAGAAACCCCCACAGGGATAAGAAAAAAAGGCATATTAAGCGTGATAATTAATTGTGCTACAAATTATAATTTTAGCAAGTTTTAGATTTACAATACAACGTCATATGTTATGGAAAATAAAACCATTTCATTATGCAATTTTAACAAAAGTGTTCATTTAAAAAACTGTTAAGAAGCAGTAACAAAGCTACTGAAATGCTCAGGAAAGTTTGCATGTCCTTTCATGCAGTATTCAGCAGACCACAAAAATTAGCTAAAATGGCATGCCATTCACGTTTGCATTCCTAAGAAATAGCAATACTAAATAAAAATCTGTAGACAGTGACCAACATGAATACAATATGAGAACATCTATTTACACTAAAGATAGGGATACTTTCATAATCATGTTTTCACAAGGTCTATGAGAAATGTATAGAGAAGACTGTTAATACTTTGCGGTATTTAGTCTTCAAAACTACCACCACATTAATAGTAATTAGAGTTCTCTTTAAACACACGTGCTAGTTAACTTGACATGCTTTCAAAACTTGTGACAGAATGAAGAGTTCTAATGAAAAGCGATGGCATTACATAAAAGAACCTCCACCATATTTAGGGAAAAATTGTAAAAGTATTATTTCAGAAATAATTTCAACTGCAGTTGAAATTGGATGAATTCCATCATGCCTATCAATCTATTGTCAATTGCCAAGATATATAATGATTGACAAATCAAGTTTTGTTCATTGAAAACAGCTTAGTCCTCCTGTGCGCAATAACACATAATCTCTGGTAATTCTTGCAGAATTCTAATGAAAAAGAAGCCAGGAGGCAGTTAATTATACTTGTAAAGATTACAGCAATCAGCAGTTGTGAGCAGAATAACGAACAAGAGTTTTCAGTTCTGTATTTATGCACGATATAAAAAGAAGGGAGGAGAGACTGCATCTAAAGTATGGGATCTTTGAGTGTTTCCAAGTCCTAAGCTGGTGCATTCACCTCAACTATATCCCATCCATCTTTTAGGATGAGTCCGGATATATCCCTCTCCCTTTCCCCCTATCCAAAACCCCTTAGGAAAGCACGCAGTGGCAGGAGCTTTAGTTTGCTTGCTCCAGAAGTCCCCAGCCACCAAGATCAGCATTAACACTGTGGAGCCTACCAGAAAGCACATGCTCTTTGTACTAAAGTCCCAGTTAAAGCAGCAAAGGGTTTAACTTGATGTATTTCTTTTTTAGGGCAGATTTTTCAATTCAATGGCAGTCTTTTTACCCAGAGAAAAAGTACATCTACTTCAATTTGGTCAAAGTACAAATTAGTCAATCGTCGTACTCAACTCTTTAAGACCTTGAAAAGATACAGATATGAAAACTTCCTAGTCCATTTGAAGCATTTTGAATTTCATCCTAAAGAAGAATCTCTTTCAACCTTTCCCCAAATATTACAAGCAAGAATTTATATTTTTCTAGTATTTTTCTTCCATTCCAGAAACATGGAATTCTTACTGCTGTCCTTTTTGCAACTTCACACTATTTAAACTAATTAATAAACAATTTCATATTAGAAAGGGTTAAAGATCTACAACATGTTAAACAGTTTTACCATTCTAACCTTCTAGGCCTGCAAGTATCTTTTCGCATTAAAAAATAATTAAAAAAATCAATCCTTTATTTTCTTCTTGAACAAAACCACGTTATGTTAGATACAAACAACAAGAACAAACAACAGAAATGATACATATTAATGCCTTCATCACAAACCAGCAGCATGGAGAAGATGTGTTTCAGTCTACATGGATTTAACTAATGATTGTAGGGTTTTCAAATGCAAATGAAAAATGATTAATTTTTTAATATACACAAGATATGAGGAATACAGGGCACATTTAAAGACTGAACTTTAATGCTTCTGTGTTACTAGCTAATAAAGAAAAGGAGTTCTTGAAAGGAAACAGTAAGAAGCAAATAAAGAGGCATTGTCACTTGACAGGTTACTTACATGCACAGAGGCCATTGGGAGTAAGACAGCATGAAAAATGTACAGGGGTCATTGAGATATGGCTTGTAATATATTAGTAAAATAAAAAGTATATGCACAAAATAAACTTTACCATGCAATAGTCTAAACACAAGGCAAATAAATCACATTAAGAAATGATAAACATATTTTATAAAAGCTTGGCAATTTTCTACATTATGCATAATATGAAGCATCGTTCTAGTATGTTCTAAAGAGTGTTCTTTTATGAAGTCCTGCAATAACATTTCAGTAAAATAAATAAAAAAATATATCTAGATATCACTGCAGTATATCTCTAGAGCATTTATAAAAATGTCAGTGAACTTAATAATGAAAAATATTTTATTTTTTCTGTGGGCTTTGGTTTAAAACTGACATTAAAATGATAAGATGTATGATTGTGAAATTGTCTCTTGAAGGACACAATAATATCAAGTATGGAGGAAAGAAAAATGGGATGATATTTTTCTTGTAAAGGAGAATATATTTGCTTTTAATTATAAAAACTAACCGGAATATTCTCTTTACTTCATAAACTATGCCTGATTTGCAGAATAATTTCATTTCCAGTTCCAGTAATATCCCAATATATCACACTACAATCTTAGCTCTCAAATCATTAGCTAGCCACACAAATCTTAGCTGACTATGAAGTATTTTACTAGGTCGTTTCTCAGCACCCCAGTGCAGTCTCATCCCTAAGACAAAAATAACAGGGAAATCCAAATAGATTACATACTGCTAAATGATTTGTTGAATTTTATACTAAAATAGAAGAAAAATAAATTCTACTTTCTTGTAAGAGCAACATTTCGACATCTGGATTAGACTTCTCAGTTCCAAATTAATGATACTTATTTTGGAACCGACAGAAGAAAAGATCTGGTTTTTATTCTGAGACAGACACACTGAAAGATTGCAAAAGCCAGCGTTGCCAGATTTCTGACTAACAATACCAGACATGATAGAGTAGTTCAGAGAAGGTAACTTCAGTACCACCTTAGTTAAACTTAAACTCATGCGAGCACCATAGCATTTCAGTGAACCTCCTTATATCCTACATTTGGCATCATTCCCTGGCATATTACTGGCATCACCTGTAATGACTCAAGGACACTAAGATCAATAAACATTTCTAAGAGAAATCTTGATTCCAATCTGCATTTTCCTTAACTTTTTCACTTCTTAGGGGGAAGGGGAAGTGTCAGATGGTATTCGGAAAAGAACAGTTTCTTTTATGGTCATTGTGATAATTTTTAATGTTCATGTTTCTAATTTTTGGCAAACACCGTGCTCTGATGTAAAGTGACTAACAGCACTGATAGTGGCAAGCACTGAAGCAGGCAAACTGACTCCAAGTGCTGTCAACCTTCTCCAAAATGTCCCCCCTACATCAAGATAGGAAAGTCTAGATTGCCTTCCTTTCAGGGATTTAATTGATAGGAAGTCTTTGGGCTAGTTTTGCTCCTAAAGTATTGCCTGCTCCTTCTTCCCTCGCCATTCTCTTTCCTTTGCTTATTCCTTTGTAGCATGCCAGGCTTAGTCACACTGACATTATTAACTCTGTAGTTGCACTGTGAACTGTATTAAGAAATGTGTCTGCCCTAAAGAAAAAGAATCAATGTTTTTTGTTGGGTTGTTCTTCAGCTAATCCATTTAACAGCACGGCCACGCAAAGTTATATGGCCGCACCTGAAGGGAGTAGCAATGCTGTGGGAATGTATGCTGGGAGCAACTGATAATACTTTAAAACCAGTACTGTCAAAGACTTCAGGTCATAAAATCCACGTTTATTCTCAACAGTTTTTGTTAAGGTCATAATTAGTAAAACATGGTTTACTGCTACTGCGATGAAGTGGAAACATTAAAACAAACAGAATACTAAACCAGCAAAAGGAAGAAAACAAGTTAAAGCTTTTAATCGCTACCTGTAAGGGTTTTCAGGGTAAAGCGTAATTTTATATTTAACTGTGAACATCTGAAATGTGATGGTGAATTAAGGACTATAAATGACAATTACTGTTCTTTGACTTTCTTAGAGTTTATTTTCAAATGACTTTTTTTTAAGTAAACATAAATTCTGTAGTACTGCTATATTATGAGCTCTGATACTGCGTACAGATTGTACAGGTAATGAGAAATGTGAAAATAGAGATTTATATTGTTTGATTCATGCATTCAAGAATGCAACTGAACCCCCCCCCCCCCCCCCCACAACACA